TTTGGTTGCTAGCAGCTAGTAGGAGGAGCTAACACAGCATCATCAAGGACTGATGTCAGAGAGCGTCCGGGACAGACTAATGGCTGGGCTGGAGGCCTCTGCACACAAACTCAGCACTGACTCATGCTGAGCCCGATCATAATCAGCCTCAGTCTGAGGTCGCTTCAGCCCGGCTGCACGACTCTTTCAATACGAGCGAGCCAGGCGGGGCCTGAGAGCGGCCGCGGAGGACACGTGAAGCGTCAACATATTCAAAGCAGTTTCCTCGATGTCAAAACGACAGACGCACACAACAACAACACAAGCTTGTTGTCCAACCACACCTCAGCGTCAGAGTTTGTGGACGACGCCCACACTGAGCTGAAACATGACAGCAACACCTGCACTCTGACCACAATCACTGTGTCATGCTCATCTCCACCTGGATGACGACAGCAGTCTGCCACAGGTTCATCCTTCAACAGCTGCATTCACACATCCTAGGTTTATTTTCCCGTTCATCCTCCTCTCAGCTATCTGAGCCCCGCCCCCTGATGTCCCCGCCCCCTTTAATGTTGGCTGATGTGTCTTTGACCTCCAAACACCGGGTCAGCCTGGTCTTTCCACCTCTGGATGCTGACTGCAACCGTCAGTCGTTTGGAAATTCTTCTGTAACCAACCAGTGAGAAACTGGTGAAGGTGTTGAGAGCTCACTGGTTTTGGTTATATACGTGACACCTTGGCCATGAGACGCCTTTTAACAGGCCGGAGTTGGGACCAGCTGATTGGAAGTAACTGGTGGGACTGCATCTACAGTTTCCTTTGCTCGTGTCGACTAGATGGTTTGAGCAACATCAGGTCAACATGTTTGCCATCAGTGCATCACTGATATTCTAACCTGCAGTATTTCCAGCCCACACTCGCTCCAGGTCCCATCCAGAGCTACCGGATCAGCTGTCAGTTGTTACAACGCTGCCATCTCCCACCGGAACAACAGGCCGTTACGCCAGGCTGCTGCTCGCTGACTTAGCTCTGCTTTCAAAACGCCACTAACAGGCAGACTAATAGAAACTGCTGGACTTCCTGCTGCCACCTGAGGCTTCCTGTCGGACCGTGTACAGAGTCAGCGGGCCTCCTCTTTCACCGGGTGTTTAAGCTGCTGCCGTCGGGCAGGAGATCGGGGCTGCTGAGGCCCTAATCAGTGCTAACAGCTGACCTGAGTGGATGCCTCCCTGGACCTTTCTGGGGGTAACAACAATATTTATAACAAGGTGCAATAAACATGCACTTTTTTAGTACTTAAGTTGTCCTGTCCTGCTGTACGCAGCGCCGACGTGGGACAGGTCTCCAGGTTCACTGTACGACTGTGCAATGACAATAAATCTCTGAGGGACGAATCCTGGAACAGAGATAAGAGTCACTGTGATGCCAGAGCCATGAGCTCCCTCCATCCTCGTGCCCACTGGTATATACTAACTGTAGCACTGCTTTTCTGTACTCACAGTCATCCTCGCCCGCGGAGGCTAACGCTCAGCCACTGACAGCTCCTTCTCTTGGTTAGCTGAAACGTAAACCTCCGCCCTGTGGAGAAGGATCAGGGCTGCTTTCCACCTTCATCTCACTACCACCAGTGCCTCCTTTGATATCTGACTGCACTTATTGATTCTGTCTGCTCAGAGCTGAGGATCTCCCACAGGAAAAAGAAGCTTCTCCTCGGTCCACAGAGGACTCTGACACTCACTTCTAGTGGATATTGTGTCGCACACCCTGACTGTGCTTGATAATCTATTTATGATCTCTCAGATGGGGCCATATGGATGGAAGGCCCCCAGTGTGCTTGAAGGGCTGCTAGTAATGAATCCAGTCACTGAACCCTCGAAGCGCCGCCACAGTCTCTAACTGACCTACTGCAGCTCTCAGGCCTGGATGAGATGCATGCAAAGATAGTCAAACGCAGGGCGAAGAACACAAACAGTGATGGAGCCGTGCAGGATGCAGGTTTGTGCCTTAGCACGCACCAATGCACCAGCACGTCCTGCATTTGTGCACAGTTCACATCAGGGTTTGTGCTCCCTTCTTGTGATAGATGTAATTGTGTCTGACACAGTGAGTCAAAGAGCAGATCCAACGACTGATGGATCAGAGCCTGCTCAGTCTGGACTCTGTGCAGCACTTTATGTTGCAGTGCTTTAGAAATAAAGCTGCGATCTTTTACAGCTTCATCACAAATGCAACAAATTACTGAGATTTTCTGGGAGACGCAGAACAAAACTTTCAGAAAGGTGACAAATAAACGAGATTAGATCCAGAAAGCCATCAAAACCCTCTCCGCCTGTGACTCTGAACACCGCGCTTCCTCATTGGCTGATCACCAACACTCTGTCGGAGCTGTTCGAGTGGCTTCTATTCTTGTGTCTCTGGAGAATATGTGGGAGGATAATGTGGATATTACAAAGGCTGATAATCGGAAACAACAGAGTAAAGAAACTCTTAGAGCGGGGTGTCAACATAAGGCCAGCGCCCCAGAGCCAACCCACCAAAGAACGTCCAGCTGGTCCTCGTGGAGACGGGCAGAAATGTGAGACTTCAGCTTCTACTGACAACGACTCCCTCTGACCAATCACACAGCACCAAAGTAAAGCAGTAATAGTTCCTGCTTTATAAATGTGCACGTTTGGTTTTAACTGTGGGTTTACAGTGAAACCAGAACAGGACAGACTCCGTCTGCACACAGAACGTTTCCTGTTATTTCCCACAGTTTAAGCCTCTCACTGACCACAGCAGCTGCTTCATCGTCACACTCCTTTTTCTTACATTCAAGCATCTCAGGATGTTAAATCTTTACACTGACAGAAAGCCTCCACAGTGTAAGATGACTGCGCTGGCTTTATGTGAACAGAAAACATGGTCACAGTGCAGGCATGTGTAACCCAGGACTCTTTCCTACACATCGACCTCCACAGCACGTTTGCACAGACCATCATGTGCAGGAATCGAATCACACGAGTGCACACACACAAAAACGTGGCTGTTTCTACAGCTCCCGCTCGCTCGTTTGTTTCGGCTGCATTTGCTCTTCTTTGTGTTTCTGCAGTCAACTGTGGCAGCTGCCTGGCAACAGCCAATCAGAGTGCGGGGCGAGGGCAGCTGACAGATGCAAAACGTCAGCTTACTGCTGCAGGTAAGCAAACCTCAGACACACCCGCTTCATTTGATTGACAAATTAGAGCTTCGGGAGCGAGCCACAGGAGAGCAGCATTAGAGAGACCGCTGTGGAGGCATTAGTGCCATTACCCACGATGAGACGCCACAATGTGCTCAGCGGCTCCACGTAAAGCATTTGACCTGGTTACAGATGCAGAGCTGATGTGAGGCCGTCGTTCCTGGAAGGACCATTCAAATTATAGCCTCACACTGAATTTCCTCAACAGTTGAACTCAGCACAACAATCATTACCCAACAACACTTTTGACACTAAGCAGACGCTGCTCTTTAAAGAAACAGGCGCGCAGCCATTGCTGGTTCCTTGTATTTTAGAGAAATGTTCCAGCCTTTGCTGGTGAAGACCAAGTGTTTGGTGAGAACTTCAGAATACTGACAGGAAAAAGGAAAGAGCATAACTGGAAAGCATCAGGACAAAAGGACAGAGAGAGACCGTTTGTATCGACTCACCTTGAGGTCGCGGTGGACCACGCCCATCTGGTGGCAGTGCAGCACAGCCTCTAGGATCTGCTGAATGCAGTGACTGCATGCAAACACCAGGGGGCATGGGTTAGTGACGAGCTAACACTCATATTTGTAGCTGTGAGCTTGCTTTGAGCCTCGGGGAGCTGGCGTGTTAGTGGGCGGAGCTCAGTAATGTGGCAACTCGCCGCCCAGAAGCTAAAATTAGCAGCAATTTGAGGTAATTTGGCTGAAAACGGGCCGTTCACTCAACAGGGCTTTTTCTGTGCTGCCACAGTTAAAACACATCCTGGAACTTCATCATCATCCTCACACACAGCTCTCTGCCCGAGCCTCAGAGCAGAGGTTAGATCTGGAGGCGGGGCAGAGAGGCGGAGTTACAGAATAGTGTGGTTTATTACAGGAGCTGACACAGTGTGTCCCCCTACAGGATAATGTTACAAACTTTACTGAAGACAACATGTGAATGAAGCAGTTAAAGTTTGAAGCAACGTGTGACTGACAAACCAAATATAGTGCTGCAGGTTCACTACATGTTTGTGTAGGTGACGTGGTTCCTCCTAACATGGAACATGGCTGCAGCATTACAGACATGTAGCGTCTAATGACACGCTCGGGCCGAAGCTACACGGTCCAGACGAACCAACGCTGAAGAAGAGCTGGTTGACCCGTGTGCGTTTGACATCAGGTGAGCAGCTCAGGGCCCTGTTTCAGGAAGCCGGTTTAGTGCAAACTCTGAGTAAGTA